AGGATGTTGTTTAGTTTTAGGTTCTCCAGGGCCAAGAATCTGAAGCCCAGTATGCAGAAAATATTCAGCATGCAAAATATATTGATTTGTTATCTAACTAACAGCTGAAGGGCTAGATTTCTTATTTGGCTAATAAAAAAAACTTGCTTGTCAACTGCAAGATGTGATCTTGCATCATGACTTTGAGACATTACCCACAATAGCTCTATGTGCCAGAGGTTCTCACACTTTCCTGTTTCACAGAGTCCTCAATGTCTTATTAATTTTTTCATGGCACCCCTAGAAGTTCCCAAACTGTGTGGTGTGCTGCCCTGGGGTACCACAGCAAATTCATTAATGATTTTGTTCATTAGTAAAATATCCTATGACGCCCTTGTGAATTCTATGTAGTACACCAGTATACTGCCACACACAATTGTAATTTTTCACTAGAGATTATATTTCAAATCATGAATCCCTGATACTTATTTTCACTAATAAACTTGACCAATGACCCAAAGGAAGAAGTAAATTAACATTTTAGAATATAATTCAGGATACAAGATATAAGGATATGATTACAGGGAATGGGCCTTTTATATTGACTAATGGCACAGAATTTTTTGTTTTTAATTCCCTACTAGTAAAAAATGAGAAATATAGTCAGATTTTTTCTATGCTGAAATTCTTCTCCCTTTGGGGAATGAAATTTTCCATCTGTCCGTATATCCAATATTATATAGGATCTCTTACAATAAAAGATTTCCTTTTATATAGATATTTTGGAACTCTCAATAATTCTAATTTTTGAGAGGTGTATATCAGGTTTTGTTTTCAATTAATATGGAATCTATAAATGTGGACGATTATGGTTTAATAAAGAGCATTTTAGATGAATATTTTTATCACAAAACTGGTGTAATTTTCCCATTGCAAATTGGAGTTTATAAATATAAGAATCTATAACATTAATTAAAATGCAACTAAAGAAGCCCTTCCCTTTATTATTAGAATTTTACCAGGACAACAGAACAAATCAGTTAGGGGGAGAGACACATAAGATGCACAAAGAGATCTTTCAAATATTATCATTTGAGCATCTGAAGGGTTATTATGATAAATAAGAGTAGAAGAGAGCAGATTAACAGAACTGTATACAGTATAAGACAGCAACTATAGAAGTGGCATTTGTGGAATGAGGCATAAATAACACACACAGCCCTTCATCTTACCCTTTGCTGGCAAGATTTGATTTTAGCATTACTTGGGAATCATAACTTTGTTTAGAACATGTACACAAATGACACATGAATGCATTATTTTGGACAGAGATCATTTGAAGTTGGAACATCTTAGTCACATCAGTACTTGCATTCTCTTTGGACATACCCTGCATTCATTTAAAATATCAATATGACAACAGACTTGTGCTGCAAAGTGAAATATGTAACTATGAATTATCTCAATTTAATACTTTTTCTCTGAGAACCACTCTTTGATGATGGTAATAAAAAAAATAGATGCATTTGTTTCTACAGAATCAAAGATATACAAACGTCTATTAATTGCTACACCATTTTCAATCTGGATAGTCAAAAATTCCATCACTTTTCCTGACTCCTAAATGTAGGCTATTCCCAGAAATTAGCAAAAGGACAATTATGTTACAGAACATAACTGTAAGATCATGCTGATCTGCAGTACCAATTGCATAGGCCACTTGACAGCACCAAGAAAAATATTCAAAAGTCAATTTCTTAATACATTAATCACTGTAGTATTGAAACAGAAATGTTCCAATGAAGAAATAAATACTGAGTGTATGTTTAACATATGCATGAATCAATGAAACAAATTGAGTGCTAAATAAAAAAGTTTGGATCTATTGGTTCTGTGCACAACTTTTACCATGAAGAAAAAGAAAATGGACTTGAAATTTAGGCTTCTGATTTTGGGCTGATTAGGAAGAGAGGGGGGGTGGTGGTGAAAAACCATTTCAGATTGGTTCATTAGTAAATAGACACCATCAGATACACTGTTATGTCTGACTGATCAAATAAGTAAAGCAAGAGAACATCAATGCTCAGAGTAATAGCTACAAAAAGCCAGGCACTCAAATTTCTTTACAAATTAAAGTTTCTGTGGATGACAGAGGACAAAACAACACCAGATGTTAAAATCATCCAACTCTTGGCTTTTTTAGAAATAACAGAATAGATCTGGGAAAAGTTATGGGGAGGTTAGGATCTAAGCTCATATTCTGAAGACTGCTCCATGAATATTTAACTGCACTTATCTCCCAGAATTAACTCTCGAAGGGTATGATATTACTTTATTTTCTTAACTATATTCATTGACAAAAAGGATATGATAATTGTCTATATTTAGGTTCCAAAAAGAACAAAAGCAGGAACAACAAATCACCCTGAGACACAATACTGGATTTGGATTTTTGCTTATATACACTCCAGAAATGATGATCAAATCAAAGCAATTGTTTTCCTCACTAGCAGATTCCCTTATTACTGACATTCGCTAGGATAAATCAACCACATACTATAGTCTATTATCTTTGCATGTTTATACATTCACATTTACTTAACCAGAAATGCTGTTATTCACATTTCTTTTGGCTTTTGGCTTACCATTTAGATAACCACACCCATTCATCATGCTTGGGAGCAATCTAAAATACCAGGCCTACTTACAGGAAACCCTATCACGGAGATAAATGTTATTGTGTAATTGAGGAATAAAGTTATTCTAATTCACATATTTGTAAATTTAAGATGGGGGTGGAGGGGAGGTACCAGAGAGCATTAGTAGGCTTTAGAAGAGCCTGAACATTGTTTGGTATATAGGAAAAACATTTACCAAAATCTGTGAAGACCAAAGTTACCAAGTGGAGGTAAGGGGGAAACAAATGAAAAAAACAAATTGACAATTATAAATGAATTACAATTAGTTTAACTGGGCATTCTTTGCATTTAGCATTTTGGTAATTTACCAAGGGAACTTTATTAGGTGATCTTAAAATGCAATAATGAATTGGCATAAAGATCTTCCATATCACTACTTTTGTATATTATTTTTTTCTTGCGGAAACATATTTTTGGATGATTACAAGGCATTTTGTTCCTGTTTACCAATTAATCTTATATGGGAAATCCAATTTCTTCAATGGAGAAAGAAATAGTGGTGCTGTTTCATTTTTTTCTCTTATTTTACTAATGAGAAGAAAAACTAATTTGAGATGGCTGCTGTAGCTCTGACAGTCTTTGGAATGAAATTAAAAAGGTATCTTCCCCAAAGTACGCGTGTGCACGCACGCTCGCATGCACACACACACACATAAACACACACACATTGTATAGATTATAGATGAAGTACCATTCAATATACACACATTTTACTGTGAAAATCAATTATAGTCAGATATGATGAATATCAGAGCCACATTTTCAAACAATCCAAACATATAACCACATATTAGCATTTAGGTAACACAGTATTGGTTCTGGGGCAAATAGCATTCACCAGCAAAGAGTCTGTCCTATTGGCATGTTTGTTTCAATTAATGGGTTGTAGAATTAATGAAACCCAGATTTGATAGCCCAATTATTCCCTTTGTATAGAAAACAACATTAGAAGCAAATGAGAAGCCATCCCTTCCTATTGCACATATAATTCACATTTTAATTTGATTAATATCTATTATATTGGCCCCTTTTAACTATTTCATGAAAGTAAAAAAAAGTGTCATTGCTTTGCATATATATATAGCATTTAGTCTTCCTAGAGTGCAACCAAATAATTCATTCTTTAGAGAATGAAAGAACTGAGAATTATAAAGGCTGGTGGATCAGATTAAAGCCATATCTACTCCAGCTTTCTATGCCATCCAGATGCCAGTGGAAAACGCACAAACAGGAGTTTATTCTCACTCATGTTTTCTAGTTGATAGTTATAAATGTACTACCATTGTTACTTAGACACAGACACAGACACTCAAGCACAAATATGATAGTAGCCATCAAGAGCCTTATCAACTTTAAACCTGCATAATCCTCTTTCAAATCTATTCCTATTGTGACCATTGTCACATATGTTCGTAAATCCATAAGTTAACTCTTCACAGTGAGAATAGCATTTCTGATCAACCATTAGTTTTGTTAGATGACCATGTGCTTTAATCTTTTGAAAGAAAAAAAATATTTATATCTTCTACCATGTTCTCTTCCCCACAAACTTAATATTTTTTTCTAAGCTAAAAAGCCAACCACTTTTATGAAATGAGGATTAATTTTACCTATTGATCTTTTTATTTGTTCTTTTCTGCATTTTTGTTGCTTTATCATACTGTGATCAGAATTAGAAGCAGTATTTTAACCATGGTCCTACTGTAGATATTTATAAAATGCTATTGATTGTATTTGCAATGATGTATATAATAAAAGTGATGTTCTGGGGATACTCATTATGTTTGGTTATCGTGGGGTTTGGAGGCTAGGATATTTTTCTCCTATTAAATCCCCCCTTCTGTTTTTATGACTTATTTTTTTGAACTATATAAAACTTAAAATTTTGTATAGGTTGCTATTATCTTTCTACTGTGATATGGAGGAACCCAGGCAATATCTCTCTAGAAAAGTATTGAGGCAATGCTGTTTTACTATCCAAGATGAAAACAGAATCTCTGTATGTTAACCTATGACACTGCTTCAGGCACTGATTTATTCCTTCTGTAAGTTTGCATTTGGTTTAGAATGGTGAGCCTCAGCAGGGCTTTTTTTCTCATAAAATACCCAGAACGGAGTTCCAGCACCTTTTTTGGATGGAACCTTGTAGGGTAGGCAAGGCAGGTTGTATGACATGTGTGAGTTCTGGCACCTTTTTTCTTTTTTTAGAAAAAAAGCACTGAGCCTCAATATTCTCATTAGAAAGAAAAACAATCTTTTGTAAACTAGTAATTGAAACTGACCACTTATTACAGAAATACAAGTTGTGAAAATATTACTTACAGTTCAGTCACATCTTTGGGGACCCCCTTTGGAAGGAACCGCAACCCTTTATTACTGCAACGAACTACAGAGTCCACACAGGTGCATTGATCTGGACAACGGGGAGAGAAATGACAGCTGCTTTCTGTGTTGCCTACAAAGAAGCAGAGAAAGTGCATGAAAATAATGTCAAATACAGATGGGATAAAATTGAGAAAGTTCATGTCTAACACATTAGCCCCCCTCATATAAATCTATTACAACCTCTATCTACAAATGACCATTATCAGGCTACGTTATTAGATTTCACTTTTTAATTGTCAATTCAACCTCATATATGATATTCCTAGCTCGTCCTTTGTTTTAGACTGCTTTAATGCCAGTGTCAATATGTATCTGGTTATAAACATTTTAATTTGCAGTAAACTTAGGTAGGTTTGTCTCTGTGCTTATATATTGTTTACATGTCAAGAAGATGGGTAGAGAGATAGACCAATAGCCTTAGGAAATAAAAATTGTTTCCATGAGAAAAAATATGACTATTTTTTTATTCTGTTCAATTGTGTTTGATTCTCAGAGACTATCTGGACAAGTCCCTGCAGTTTTTTTGGCAAGGTTTTTCAGAAGTGGTTTGCCATTGCCTTCTTCCTAGGGCTAAGAGAAAGTGACTGTTCCAAAGTTACCCAGCTCGCTTTGTGCGAAAAGCAGAACCAGAACTCAAAGTCTCCTGGTTTCTAGCCTGTTACCTTAACCACTACACCAAACTGGGTCTCTATATGAAAATTTGTTGTCGTAAGTTGAGAAGTCATGTCCAATCCATCACGACCCCATGGACAACATTCTTCCAGGCCTTCCTGTCCTCTACCATCTTCTGGAGTCCATTTAAGTTCATGCCTACTGCTTCAGTGACTCCATCAGCCACCTCATTCTCTGTCGTCCCCTTCTTCTATTGCCCTCAATCTTTCCTTCTTCTTCAGTGAGTCCTTCCTTCTCATTAGGTGGCCAAAGTACTTGAGTTTCAACTTCAGGATCTGGCCTTCTACAGAGCAGTTGGGGTTGATCTCCTCTAGGACTGACCGGTTTGCTTGCCTTACAGTTAACTAAATGCTCCAACCAGCTCAGCTTCATTAACCAGCATAAACTCTTTGTATTTCTATTTTTATTTATATTATTGCTAAGGATGATTGACTTAGCCCTCAAAAGGCAAATCAGCAGATATGTGCCCATGAACCTTCCAAAAGTCTACCCACTGAATCCCTTTAAATTTGCATTTTAAATTAAATCTTAAAAATATTTTTTTTGTGTGTTCCTGCATGAAATCAATTTGGGGTTTGGATCATTTTAATTTTCAATATTTACTTACTCACCGCCATGAAATGATAGGCACAATTGCTGTCATCTTGCAACTGACAGCAAAATACTATATTTGACGATGTTGGGAAAAAAACCCATTGTATTTAAGCTGACCAAAAGGAAAAAAAATGTATTTATAATGGATCATTTACTTGGTGCTGTAGTTTACTGACTAATATACAGATCTGAATTATTCTAAAATATTTACCCTGTTTATCCTTTAAAAAAAAACTCTGAAAAACATTCATTGTTTCCTGACATGGTGAACAATTTATTCAACATGCCAGACTTTCAATATTAATACGATACATTCCTTAATTTTTTAAATCATGAGTCTTGTTGTTTTTAACAAGCCTAATGAGCATCAAGCAACAAGATCAGCTATGTTTTCACTAAGAATTGGAGATCCACGTGCATGTGCATAAAAACACCTAATAGCTGAAACATGGGTGTTCATTTGTACAAAGCGGATTTTATAAAACAAATTAAACCTCACAGTTGGATACCAAGAGAGTTCCTGCTATGAAAGTAAGCGTTTCAGTTAAGACTATTAAGTCATGGCTTTCTCCCAAAATTAGCATGTGGGTTCACAAAGCACTACATATAGGCAAACGGTAATATCTAAACATGCCTACAAAAATTGTGTTGAATAATCTTTAAAGGCAGCCAATTAAAAAAATATAACAATTTAAATATTTCACACTCCAGAGAATTATCTACCTGCCATTTATTGAGTATTCTTAAAATCATTTTCATTGTTTCAATTGAGCAGGACTAACAATGCTATAAGGTCATTGGTTTCAGTTTTGAACAATGACTTCAATGCTTGACTGGGTCTAATAAAATGAACAGACTATAGTCTTTTATAGCAAAAGTTGCTGGCAAAAGTTCGAATTTCCCTTAGAAGAGGTAATTAAAATAAACAATGACAAGATAATAGTGCAGAATCAAAGTGTGTTTTGTACTCTTATATGCAGGAGTTTGGAATGTTGGTTCCAATTTTTTTCATTTCAAAAGTGTTAAGGCTTTTTACTAGAAGATGAAACTGGATTAGCACTCAGTTTATGACCAAGCTGGAAGGCTACAGGCATGATGAAATCTGTACAAAAGTACAGTAAGCAAGAGAAGAAGAATTAGTAAAGGTTCTAACTAAACTATGCCAGAAAATCTAAAGAACAGTACATTAGCCCACAGATTGGATGAAATCGTCCTAATGCCAATTCCAAAGAAAGAAGATTCAAGAGCATGTGAAAACTACTGTACAGTATCTTTAATATAAAAATAATGCTTAGGGTAATCCAATGTAGATTAGAATCCAACATGGAAAGGTACTGCTAAAAGAAACTGAAGAAAAAAAGACATTACTGACAATGTACACTGGCTATCTGAGAAAAGAACACCAAAAATAAGTCAAGGTAAATTGATATAATCAATGATTATACAAAAACCTCAATTGTGTCAATCATGTCAAGATCAACCAGTTTTGGACACATGTATTTCAGACCTATTGTACAATAGCTCTTTAGCAAAATCTAAATTGCTGGGAAAGATCAAAAGAAAAAGAGGCCAATAGTGAAAAGGATGGATCCAATTATAGCAGTAAGGGGTGCAATACTGGAAAACCTACAAGGCCTATCTGGGGAAAGGTCATACTGGAGATTTCTCTACAGGTATATGGTCGCTAAGAGTAGCTTGATGGCACAGATCAATTAATCCTTCCAGCTATTTCCCAAGAGTGGAATTTTGAATGCAGGCCAATGGTTAATATCTCTCCCCAAATTCTTAAAGTTCTTGATGATGTCAAGAAGAAAAGTCACTTAAATTCCTGTTTTCTACTATTCTTTGTCTATTTTTCCTTGCTGAGACTTAAAGGAGAAAACAGTCCTAGTCTGGGGATACAATTTCTTTTAGCCTGTCTATGGGGAAAAACTTCATCTCTGAGTATATACATTCATATCTGGATGAAATATCATGGTTATACTATTGACAGATCTAATAACGATCTCATATTCATGTTCTAGAAATGTGCTTACCATCACATGTAAAATCCTGTGTAGCAACATCTTGAATTGGAATCTCCTTTAAGAAGAAGGGTTTCTGGCAACGTGGATTTCCACTGACAATCCTTCTCTTCCTTAACCATTTCCCCAACCATGCTAAGTGGCAGTTGCAGTTAAATGGATTAGATAGCAAATTACTAGATGAAAAAGGAGAAAAAAATGCAGTCAGCTATTGAAAAAAATCAAGACATAGATTTTTCAAAAGCTAATTGATATTCAAGTGGGAAACTTCTGGTAATAAATTAATTTTACAATGGAAGCTGCGTGCCTAACAGGGTTTTTTTGTTTTGATTTTTTTTCTCAAAAACAAGTCATAAAAAAGAAAAAAAACTACACCTGACTAACAAATTCTGTTGTCATTAGGTTTCTTATCATGTACTAGATCAATTTGTAATATATTTAAAAATGGAAATACTTAGCTATAGCTAAATAATGTAATCCTATAAACAGATGTTCTTGCTTTGTGTTTCTGTATTGTATGGGTGCACGAATGGAAGAAGCAGCAAGGTTGTTTGTTTTTGACTAGGACAGCAGAGTTGTGGCTTAATTTTACTTCCCAATTTCCCCAATTTAAACACCTCTAAACTTACTTTTGGAATACAATGTTGGTACCTATTTATTCACTAATACATATATCAAACAGTTAATTAATTTGCATTACAAAAGGATTGTGTCCTTCAGTTCCTTCCTGGCTGCAATAGAATTTTGTTACTAAAATTGGTAATATATATCATATGCCAAAAGCTTAAAAGAAATGTATCATGAACTAAAGTTTAAAAGTGGAGGGGAGGGGGGCAGGGATACAAACTTCCCAAGTAAAAATCCCTTTAGAAGAATCCAAGGCCAGCTTACACAGTACATTAATGCATGCAACTTCAAAGACATGTTATTGCCAATGATGATGGAAGGACTCAAGATACATCCTATGATGCCATGATCTAATGGTTATGCAAGGATAAGTCTAAATACATTACATCAAAGCTCTCTGTAGGATCCAGTTGTTTTTCAGTACCATACTGTAAGCTCAATCCCTTTCAGAGATCTGTGCAACATCACAATGCCAATATAAAGGGGGCAGAGCTTGCATTGAATTGGTGGGACACTGCTTTCACCCCACAGATGCCTCTGAATCATATGAAGACGGTCTGATCAGTCTCAGAAGCTCCAAAGAATACAAGTTAAATCTGATATGTGAATGTTTGTGCCATATCATTTTAAAGGGATTTTTTTCAATAACCAAAGTGTCTCCTTGTGATAAACAACAATAATCTAGGAATGGATTAGAAATCGGTGCCTTTCAGGTGTTGCTAAATTACAATTTTGAACAGTCACAAAAACAGGAACAATGGAGAGGAATGCTGGGAGCTGTAATTCAGCAACATCAGGTGAGACATAGGTTCCTTACCTCAGGTTCAGTCTTATAAATTATAAGTTACCCAACCAACATTTTTTACAGAAGGAAGGAAGGAAGGAAGAAAGGAAGGAAGGAAGGAAGGAAGGAAAGGCTGCTAGTAACACTTTTAAAGTAATGTGCAGTTCAGTTTGGTTATTTTGAAAAGCATATAGCAGTTTCTGAAATATGAACTAAAAGGGGATGAGGCATATCACATGAAATATTTTAGTCAATTTAGCTCCATAGCCTCAACTAGATAACTTCAGTTAAAATAATAGTTTGATGAGTTGGGAATTTGGGCTGCATATAAATAAATAGTTATTGAAATTTTTTGACATTAAGGCAAAGCTAAACCTGTTTTCAGAGTAAAATTATTGATCTTTCTGCTACTGAAATACCAAACAGTCAATATGATTTAAAAGAACAGACAATAATGCATTTTATTGTGCAAAACTCAAAGGAACTATAGATGTAGAATTATTAAAAAAATATCTTGCTGTATCTAAGCATGTAGACTGGGACTGTGGAAATTTATACTCTGGATGATCAAGTGTGTTTCTCATAACAATTACAGAAATATCACATAATGTAGAGAAATGAAGTTTTCCGAAAAGTAGCTAATTATTTGTAATTACATTTGAGGTAAAAGGAACCCTCTCCCAGTTAACAGAAGTTAACTATTATAATCCAGCTGGATGATAGTTCTTTGCTACAAATGGCATGCTTGCATTTACATCTGTAGATTAAAAAACTGATTAAATTTGAGAAAAAGAAATCTAACATGATTCAGAAGGGAAACCATATTCACACTAGAATTTTCAGTGATTTTGTACTCTTTTTATGTGTGCTATAAAGTGTGTGTGCACGTGCACACACACACACACACACACACACACATTTGCATCTGGTTTGACATGAACAAAATACCATGAATATCTCAAAACTGAACCATCACTATCCACTTTAATTTATTC